ACCATGATCATATTTGGGCCAGGGGACGGTGCTCCCAACCGGACCGGTCGCGAGAAGTGGTCACACAGCTCGCATGACAAAGAGCAAGATTTGACAGTTGAACATTTCGAGGAAGCAAGTGTGTGCAAACAGCTTACAAAGCTCGACAAAAAGTTGACTCAAACCTCTCGGTTGCTGCGCTACATTGCGCTGTACTGCGTGCTATGCACTGCCTGGCATGTCCTCCCACTGCCTTCAAAAACTAAGCTCTTCTTGAGCTAGCTGTGGGTGAAACCAGGGTTGACGCATGTGGAAGCTCAAAGTACACAGGAGATTGAATGAATGTGACATATATAATTTGACCCATCCCCAGCTATAAGAGCTACTGCCCTAATCAAAGTGGAGTCTCCTGTTCAAAGACCAGCCATAGGAGTGTTTGAACTGTTGCAATTTGCTGTACTCTTCTGTCTTGGCCAGATTAAACTTTAGACGGGTCAGCAAGCCTGACACTGTTGTCAAACCTACATCATTGGCAGGGATCAGAACCGGCCTGAACCGCATACATAGAGCGGTCGTCGTTGGGAAAGATGTCCCACACAACCTGGATTGCCGGCGTGGCCACATGCCTGATGAGCAAATTGTTGAACTGGCCACTGCATCGGGAAGACTGATCAACTATAGGGAAGTGGAACGTATCCACCATTGGTTGGAATATGAATGTTGCTTCTCACCTTTGCATGTGATCCTCAGTCCCGAATTTCCGCGAATGTTTTGTGAGGGCTAAGTGCCACCATTGGGACCTATCAAGTATTTCTTTGACCCCTGTCCTAAATCCCCTGCTGTCAACCATGAAGTTCTACCACCATCAAAACCAACGGACACAACCAACGCCCTTCCCGCTCAGGTCCCGGGCGTCCCCCTCCGACACCGTCAGCTCCGAACCGCCCCGAGGAGAACTGCCCTCCTTTCAAGCTCTCACCTCGAGAGAGCGGAAGGTGGAGCCCGGGAAGGAGCCGAATTCAAACACCGAAATCCGGCGTGGTCTCTCTCTGTGTGCCTTTGAACCGAATCAAAACCAAACGGCTGAGAAGTCCACGTCGTTTTTGGAAGCCAGGACCCACGCGGCTCACCCCAGGGTCTCTTGCTGCTGGCGCTGTTGCGCGCCGAAGCTGTTCGGGCAGAGCTGTCAGAGGCCTTCACAGGTGGTGGAAGAAACAGCTGTAGAATTGGACACATCCTGTAGTAGACAACTGAATCTGAACCAATCCCAAAAGAGGAGCAGTTTCCTTGGATTTCAGCTTTTCAGTCTAGTCCAGGATGACAAGATGTAGAATGTAGAATTCAGATTCACTCAAAGACCCGATTTATATAAGGTCCTGAGATGTCCTGAGAATGGTCCTTGCCTCATGTTCTGAACACTCCCATCGGCCGGCAGACGCTAAAGACCTTGAAGATGAGAGGGCTGATGGCCCAATGGGAAGCCTTTGTCGATCAGCTGCTCGTCCCAGTGACAGTGAGAAGCTCCGATTCATGTAAAACAGATTTGGGCTGCCGTGGTGACTTTTCAGGGTCTGAAGCCGTTTTGATGTTGTTGTCTTTTAAGCCTCATCATGGCGTGCTCCCTGGTCTTCCTATTTTTCCAAGCTCAGGTATGGCAACAACGGCTTGTACCAGGGCCACCACAGGATTTGCACCTGATGTCCACGTGATGAGCACGCAAAAAAAGGGCATTTCTCGGCTGCGTCAGATAGGCTGAACACAGACTCATTGTGCGCTCTGAGAGTGCTTGAAGCCCTTTTGATCCGAATCTTGAAATTCAACCAACCCCTGTTTAACCATGTCAAACCCCCCACAGGTGAAAACACTCTGCCAAGATCTTTAAGGGCCCTGAAATGTTCTTGCAATATCCTCTACTGTCAGCCTATGAAGATCACTAAATTTGTTGGATAGAACCCTCTTCGAGTCAAACTTTGAGCAGAGATCAAAATAACATCAATAATCAACGATAATCGAAGTGTACTTTTCGGAGTTCCATGTCAGGCGCTGATTGGAGTTTATTACTTCTTCCCATGGTCCACTCTGGATGGCAAAAACGGTGGAACTTTGAAACATTAAACATGTTAAACACAAGACACAAAAATACATTGAAGCTGTATTTCATGAAGCAACAACAATCAATCAATGATGTTGCTCCTCAGGTGGTCATGTTTTATCTGGTTGTCTCATCCCATAGGTGATGGGCCAAGCGCAGCGAGCGCAGCGAGCGCAGGCGCAATGGGAGGTTGTTTCACGTTCGGAACGACCGGCATTGATGCAGGTGAGAAAAACGATGTTCGACTGATGAGGACATTCCAGGATTAGACTGATGTTCATACTACCAGTCCCAGACCATCCATGGGACAGTTGCACGCATTTGCCTTGTGACTCATGACCTTCTGATGACTAACTGTTCCAGTCCCAAGGATGGTCTGGGAGTTTTTAGATGCATTCTTTCAGTTGTTAACCCATGCGTGGAAAAAGAACATGCTCTTTTTTTGGGGGGTTGGCAAAGACTGGCATTTCAAGGTTTGCCTGTGGGTGGTCCTCCCCTTTAGGCTGGTGACACCACCACTCGAGGCAATCTGCTGCGACATGTTGAGACCTGTTTCTGTTTGGGGGTAAAACTCCCCGGTTTACAAGCAAGAGGGTTGGAAGAATCATTGAAAAATCAGAGCTGTCATCCATGGCTATGTTTTCATATTTGATCATCTATCAGGAGGATGGTTGTTCCATCTTTTTCCACTAGACAATGCTAGCACGGGGGTTGACCGAAGAGGGGTCCTGAGCAAATGTCACTGAAATGGAAGAGTTAGACTGATAGACATGCAAAAAGAACCTATCCTATGTATCATCATCTGTGGGCAGATCACTTTTGGGACAACTTCTGTTGAGCTTCAGGCAGGTCCAAGTTCTAAAAAGACGACTTGACTGGGCTTCTTGGTTGAAGTCTTCACTTCTTGGTTGAGGACTGCGACTGGGCCTGGAAAAGTTCACTCGACTGGGCTTCAAGTGGATGGTTTGTAGCCTTCGAAGCGTTCACCTCTTGAGGATATCGCCTGCAGCTCTTTGCCACCAAAGGCCGCGAGTGGCGACGGGACGCGCGACGGGAGAAGAGGATGTGGGAGGAGGGGACGACCTGAGAAAGAATTCCAGACATCCAAGGGAGGTCCGAACATAGCTGGCTATATATACATATATTAATTATTACTGTATATATATATATATATACTCTGTGGATTCAGGAGGGTTGAGCCTAACGATACAAGTCAAAGCGTGGAAAACGAAGGTCTATGGGAGCCGGGAGTTTAGTTGATCAACTGACACTGACCGGCTGCCACGAGAACCCAGATGACGGGAGACGATATACGTCTTGGATGCCCTCCTTGCGTTGCAATCCGCGTTGAAACCGTGCAAGCCAGCAAAGCAGGTGGTGCAAAAGCAAACCGGACGAGATGGTTAAAGATCCCAGATGCTCTCCCTAATCATTCTTTCCCGAAACTCTTGCAATCGTGAGGAAGCCAGGAAGGACTTGGAAGGTATGGCTTCAAAAGCTAGATGGATTCGTTCCGGGTAGGGTTCTGGAATCGCTAGATGTGAAGATGAACTGCAAGGCACCCGCACCCACCCCGCCCGGCCCAGAGTCCGACCTACGGAGTCGACTGGATGCCATCCCTCGTAGCAGAGATCTGACCTTGTTCAAGCGTTCTGCATGCTTTCTACGGGGAGACAGGTGGATTCCACTTCCATGTTAAGTCACAGAGTACTGAGTTGCGCGCACTGTATCCCAATGGCAAGGGGTTCTGTTATGTTGATTGCTTGAAGATTCAAACAGATGGAAGGTTTGACAAAGCTACTTGGAGGTTTTGGAGAGACCACTCGGACTCGACTCCTCCAGTCATGTAAACCTCTGCGATGCGCACGAATCAACAGGGGACTCGGTCGATCTTGGGAGAGGTTCGGGTACACATTTGATTTGAAACATGGCTCAAGGGCTCACCCAAGTTCATGAGGAACTGTGGTGGTCCGAAGATGAGAGACATACAGTTCACGTGGTGGGCTCTCAGAAAGCACGGCTCCAGTTCACATGGTGGGCTCTCAGAGAACTCCCTGCCCTATACTTGTCGGAGGTACTCAAAACCTACCAACTCTCACAAAGCCAACAAATGCATACAGTTGCAAAAGAAACTACATGTTTCTTCGTTTTCTCTGAGTCTTCAGGTCTGACCTTCTCAGCTCAAGTAAGTATGTTCAAGCCCAGTGTCAACGTGTGTCAACGTAGGATTCATTCTTCCGCCATTACCGGCTTCTTTGCTCGTGGAACAGTTCGCGTTGCGCGTAACTCGCCAGCGGTCTCACCGGGGTCATGGCTGGGGTGTCAAGGACAAGCACTCACTCTTTAGGGGTCCTGGAAATGATCAAACAACAAGTTACCTGAGGTTGCCCCTCCTTCCTTGATCTCGCCATGGCGCCCAAGAAGGGCCGCTCAGTGCAACTGGCCATGGAGGAAGCCACGAGCGAAGTTCCTGGCCGAAGAACGGTGGGTGGGGGTGAAGTGGGCTGCAGCGACGGCTCAGGTCCTCAGGTCGCTGGGGAGTTCCCCTGTCCCCCTGTCCACCAGCGCCCATGGGGAAAGCACGATGGGAGTGGTTTAGTCCCATCTGCTGCCTCAGTGGAGACTTGCACCCCCACCCTCCAATAGGCACCCCTTTGAACTGCTGCCCTATGGATCCACATACCGAACCTGAGAAGGTGATTGGAGACTGCTTGACTACTTATGTAGGCTTGGAGGATCCAATTCCATAGCTTCTGAGAAGGTATGTGAATCCAGAGGTCTGGTCTATGACTTTGTTGCCCAAAATGCTCGTGTGTGAGCTCACAAGCCTATCGATGTTTCGTGAAAGATATGACCTTTGTGGTCGACTGCTCGACGATCAGGGAAGACCGCCGTCCTTTCTCCGATGTCCTTTCTCCGCTTCTCTGAGGAGGTCCGTCGGGCAGACAGCCAGGAGCCCTTGAGGGACGCCACGAGCAGTGGCGCCGGCGCCTCACCAGTGGACATGGCTGTGATTTGGGTGAAGAAGGCGGCCAAGGGCAGTACGCAGTGGACGGATATCGGCACAAAGCGACAGCTGTCCCACTATAAGTTCCGGAAGAGGCTGAAGCCCCTCACGGTGCTGATCAAGTTTCTCTACTTGGGCTTAGCCTTTGTAGAGGTGCCTTCCTGGTGCCTGGTGAAGGACTATTGTCTTGAGAAGGATGGGATTTACAGCTGGAAGATCCTTCAGTTGCCTTTCCAAGTCTCCAACGGGATCGATGCTCGTCCCAAACGTAGCTTTTCGACGACTGACTGGCTTCTAGGTTCAAATCAGGTTAGTCATGAGAAAACTTGTAGTATACTGTTTATGATTTGTCCAAGAGATTCCAATATATAGTGCAAAGTGAGGATATCTTCTGCTTGCTTTATCTCGCGCACCACTTTGGGAACCGACATCGTTCATTGGGTTTTGCCTCGAAGACGAAGTGTTGGCACCTGGCGCGCTGCTTCTTGGTGGTCTTGGCGCTGGTTGACTGTGCCGTAGCGATCTTCAACCGGGTCGGAATAGTTCCAGGCTGGGACAGACGCAGATGCGAAGGGAAGATAAGGGAGCCCACACATGAAGCCACCCAAACTAGCCAGCAGAAGGGAACAAAAGCAAAGAATCTATATATTGGTATCAATTCCCAGACCATCCATAATTTATCAGAATTTATCCCATGTGTGACCCTGGGATTGGTTGAGTTGAGTCTTATTTCCTTTGCATGAGACGAAGCTGGACTTCTGTAACGGTGCTTTTTCGTAGCAGGTCACCGGCTTGGTCCAAAACATGTAAAATCATGTAAACAAGGACTCAAAGGGAGGCATACTCCCAAAGGGACCCCTAACAACTTTCCCAGAAATACGAAGGCAAGAGTCGTGGGTTTCTCTTGGCTGATTTGAAGCCAGTCACAATCTTTTTGGGGGGGTGATGAAGCTTCCATCAGCCCCATCACTGTGGCATCCATAATTTCTGGCGAACCTTCCCTCACAGCAGCTTCTGTGCCCCTACGCCGCTGGCCGTTCGATTCCCCTATATAGACCCTTTTCGTCTGACGGAAAGACGACTGGTCCGAGGTGGGCCAGAGTGAGCCTGGTTGTGAAAGGCTATATTTAGCCAGGGTTTGTCCATGTGTGTCCATTGGTCACTATTCAGGGAAAAAGGGCGGGACAATTCGCTCAGACCGCGCAGCCGAGCGGGGTCGGCGCCTCAGGAGCCTTCCGGGTGTGCCGCGTGTGTCGGCCGTTGATTCTCATGTGCGCCACGAAGTTCCTGCGACGGACGCTCAACCGCTTGTGGTTGGCATTCGTGGACTTCTGGACGGCACCTTGTCACCAAGGGCATCGCGGTTCGGAGCATTTCGGAACGATCGGATGCGAAAGAAGCAAGTAGCTCCTGGCATTACTACTAGTAAGGAGCTACTACTGGCGATGGATCGAGATAAATGAGTATGGAAAATCATGTAGACTCTTGATTCATACACCCTCCCCATTTGGATTGAACAATATATGGGCTCTTAATGACATCAAGAGTCAATCGGTTGAGTCGACCGAACTCAGCTGTTCGTTGCCTCAGTTGAACTACACACCGTCCCGTGGAAATGCACAGGCAACACACAGACCTGGATGACCTGCATCGAAAAGTCATTGCCAGTCTCTGCGATTGCTGAGTGGATGCCCTATGGAACCACATACCTTCTCAGAATTGGACCCTCTAAGCCTACATATATATGATATATACTTATATATATATAGTGTATAAATAGTCTCCTAATCTCTTTCTCAGGTTCGGTATGTGGATCCCATAGGGATGGACATGTTGTTCCGCTTCCATCTTCAACCGAAAACAAACCCCTCGCGTTGCTTCTTTGCGCTGCCAGAGTCGCTCAGGTCCTAGCTTCCTTGGCTTTGTGCGTGATCTTCTTCGTTTGGCTGGGTATCGTGATCTTCGCACGGACCAAGGATCATGTCTTTGGAGCCCTTCCCCTCACTTGTTGTACTGGTTGTATGTGTTTGTTGAGTTATATTAATGTAACATATTGCTCTAATATACGACTTGACCTACGTGCTTCTGGTCTTCGTTCCGCTTGCTCCGCTGGAGGAGGGTGAGAATCACTTCGACGAGTGGTCGCAGTCGGCGGCCTCGTTGTGGATCCTCTTCACCACGGCCAACTTCCCCGAGTCCTGAGCTGGACGGGAAAGGAGTGTGGAGGTGGTGAGTCTTAGTCGATTCTATTTCGAGTGGTGCTGTGAAAGAAGAGGTCCCACCAGTGTCCACTGCCAAGAAAAATAACAAGAGAGAGAGAGAGGTATAGGAGATAGAAATAAGATAAAATAAGAATCAAGTGTTCCACCAAAAGCTTACAGTTGTGATGGGCTGGTCATTAAGAGTTTGGGCATCCAAGATCACGGGTCTTTCCTGGTCGGTACGGCGTAGTGCTTAGACTTGCCTTGCCGTCTTTGCGTGCAAGTCGGGTGAGCCAGCCATGGTTCTTCTCGAACACAACGGTGATGGTTCGCGGGGTGTTTGGTTAATGAGACATCATTTGCTGCCTCGCTGCACAACAGAATGCTTCCATTGGTTGCCTAGTGAAGCCTAGTGTATTTAGTCAACAGCACAAATTCAAAGGCGCAAACCATCACTGAATCCGGACCTGCATTGGAGTGACTGAAACGCTGAAACGCTCCTCGTGACTCATGACTTCATGAGCGTTAAGGGACGACATGTTCCTTTTCGTTCAAGAAGAGGGAAGGTAAGACCCTACAGCTACAGGTCCAGTCTGGCACAGGTGTTGTTAGATGACTAACTTCAGTAAAACGATATTAAAATTAGGTCAGTTCCTGACCAGGATCAATCATTACCGGTGCTCGAAACCTCGCCTGGCACTGCACTGTGTTGAGGATGTGATGGTGGATTCCTACACCAACGTCCGCATGTCCTTCTTCTTTTTCTTCTTCTATTTGGTGGCCCAGAAGCACAAGTGTGTTAGTTACCTTTGGATGAACATACCACAACCTCTTTGTTTGCAATACAGATCCGATGATATAACGTGACATTGCAGACCTCCTAAATGAACAGCCGCACCGAGTGCGTTTTGTAATCGAGGGAAAAGAACGCAGCAGTTCTGAAGCGGTCCACTTTGCAGCAGTTCTGAAGCGTTTGCCTTTGTTTGGAACTCGAGCAAGTTCAATCATCAGCCAGGCAGTTTTTTCCCGGCGAACCCTTCCAGGTCATCTCGCTTTATTTGTTGAACAATATCTTGCTGGCGGCGGTATACGATGCCTACAAAGATCAGCTTCGGAACTCCGGGCTTAATGAAAGGAAACATTGATAGACATATATAGAAATCGTATTTCTGATTTGTTTTCTGCTGTAAGTAGAAGTTTGGGGCAGTCTACCAGCCAGCATTCAGTGACCAATGATGATCTGTAAAGATCTGTCAATGGGCCATTGTCGGGTTTACCCGGTGCTGTGGTGGCTTCCAAGGAACCAACTCCAGACCTTCTACCGCAAGCAGAGCTACTCCATTGACCGGGCCTTCCAACTCCTCGCTGACCATTCAGCACCACCGGGCCTCAACACGCGCCACGCCCGCGCGGGCCCGAACGAGCTGGCAGAACGTGATCCAGAGCTGGTAGGATCCGAAGAACAGGATCGAGAAGCAGGTGCAGCGGGAAGAAGAGAGTCTGACCCGGAACCAAGAACGACTGGTTGGCAAAGAACTGGATGACCAGCTCCACCCAGAACTGGATGGTTATGGGATGTTGAACACCTGCGTTGTCCATCAACAACGCTTTGGGTGGTAATGCGACAGGTTCTTTTACCCTATAGTACTAGTCCAAGCACCATTGATTGCACGTATAGAATATATCAATTAATAATATCTAATAGCCTTTACTGAACAATCTTAGAGTTGTCGTGGACATAGTTGGACGATGTTGGACGTATGAGACGGACAAACGCGAGCACCTTTGGTGGAATGCGTTGTTGGTATATTTCCGTCGTGCTGCTTTTGAGCTGGAACAAGCATCAATTCTAAAGAGCTGCCTTTTGACACATCACCAGGCAAACATGAACATGTGACACAGGCAGAGAGATTTGACTGGAATACGGAGGAACCTCAAGCGACCGAATGCCAGGAAGCCGGAAAACTGTCCTGTGAACAGTAAAGGAGGATGGATCCCAGACCTGTATGGAATGGTTACCTACATTGGGGTCATAAATGCGGTAAATGGATGTAACTATTCCAGTCCCATGGATGGTCTGGCGGGCCCCATTCGGTCCCATGATGCTCTCGGAGAGTGCGAGAGTGCTCGATCGACGGCGCGGATCGACAGGCATTAGCCTTGAGAAATGGATGGATTTTTTCACCACTTACTGTGCCCTGGCCTGTTCAAGTTGCTTTCTTTTGTGAGTTGACTTGTTGAAAGCCCTGTTTCGTGTCCCCCAGGTGGTATCCTTAAAGATGTAAAGATGTGTAGGTCATCGTTTAAAACACATAATATATATATATATATATAAATATATGTCCTTTTGCTTTCTTTTTGGGTGGCCTGCTGTACTCTTTTGGGTCCTTGTGGTGTTTTCCAGGCCTTTTGAAATGAAAGACTTCCTGATTCCAAGCAAGGTGTTGCCGCGACTTGCATTGGCAGCAAGAGAGATCATAGCTTTGTTCAGCAGCAGGCACTGCAAACCTTCCAAGCACTGGACAGTGACGGCAGCAGCTGTATCACCAAAGATGAGTTCAAACTGGTTGCCCCTCGAAGTGGTCTGCACAGGACGTGGGGGCGTGGGTCATGTCCAATCCATGGATTCCTCAATAAACGAGGTTGTTGCTCACACAGAGTGATCAGAATACGAGAATCTCTTCCTTTGAAAAGGGCGGAGGACATAGATAGACAAAGTTTTGTGGAGTAGATAGAATGTGCAACATGTCATTGAATACTTTCTGCTGCGTTTCTTTTTGCCCTCCTATTCATCCGTGGAATAGAAACAAACCACGACATCCGTTCCAATTATTTCCGGTATCATTGGCTTGCAGAGACCACAGAGCTCGACTCGTGTTGTTGAAGAGACTTATAGTGGATTGAGACTAGATGGCACAGACCCCAATGTCGGTGGTTAGTGAACGGCCATCTGTCTAGGACCCCCGGCATGCCATGGCATGCCAGTGCCATCGAGCCGAGTTTCGGCCCGCGACCGTTCCAAGGTCCATGTGCTGTCCGATCCCCAGTGCCTCGGACGGGTCGCGGTTTGGGAGCCAAAAGAGATACAGTTAGCATGTTGTGGCATCAAAAACAATATGAACGTCATCAGTCAAAGCCATTGAACGCAACAAAACTCATTGGATGTCCGAATGGAGCAGCTAGCTGGAGATGTGAGATGCTTGTTCATGCTCAGGTTTCGGGAAGAAGCACCCGGGAAGAAGCTGACAAGCTCTTCCTCCATATGTAGTTATGTAGAGTCTAAGACACACTCAGCAGGACTTGGAAGCACAGGAAAACAACCTATATATATACATATGAATAGCTGGTCTGACTTGTCGTCAGGGTTAGTTTCTGCATATCCAAAACCATATCGAACGGATACATTGTGTGATACGGCTTTCGATACATCTCGCTACACCTGCCGTGGCTGACGAACAACGAAAGGCCCAAGTGTAAATGATATAAGCATGGTCAGATGTTCAATTGGCTGGAGGAGAGGTAAAGTCTACAAGTGTTTATACAAAGTCACTTTTCAGAGCTCTCATGGGACAAAAGGCAGATTTGGAATAGGAGAGGCTCTAGAAGAATTGTTTGAGCGTGTCCAAGGTTCAGGTGGAGTCATGACATGTCACGACGTGTTTCAAGCATATTCAAGGCAACCTGAGGTTCTATCACGTGCACAGGTGCCTGAAATCTTGGGAGCATGGGGGGGAAGAGACACCCAAATGCAAAGCTTGTGGTGTCAACTGGCATGGAAATAACTCTATTTTGCCACGCGGCTTGCCACGCCCAGAATCTATATTCCTTTGCGGCCCCTGCCGGAAGCGTCGAGTACAACCTGGGGCCGCCGCTTGCGCTTCCTTTTCCAAAAAGGCATTGCGTGGCGGCACCGTCGCCTGCCCTGGTGGATGGTGGTGGACTTTGTAGTGTTTCTGGAGACTCGGCGTGAAACGAGCGTTTTCGTACTGAGAGGTGGAGTGGCTGATAGGGCAACCAAAAGCATGAGTCATGAGTGCAAAACTGTGAAGAATTGAAGGAGCCATCCATCCATCCATCCATCCATCCATCCATCCATCCACCATTGGAATCGGAACCTGAGCATTGAAGCCACCTGGCCATGATGTTTTTCGGTATGCCGAGCATCGACTGACTGCCACGAAGTTGAGATCAGAATGGTGGACAAAAGTCGATGGCAGATCAAGTGATTTCTCCCAACCATGTGGCAGTGGCAGGGGTCTTGGTACTTCCCTGAAGAGGGAGTTTTCTACATCACCATTTGGTGGATTCCAAGAGTGATCATGCAAACCAGAAGAAGATTTCTTACACCTCCTTTACGGCCCCCGGGGGCCGTGCGATAATCGCTCAAACCTTGCTCCGTGATGCTCCGCTCCGTGCATTTGGATGTGAGGAGATTGCTTTGGCTTTTGGGCAGACGTGTATTTTTGTCTCCCCGGTGGGTGGGAAATTCAACGATCAGCCGTTGGCGCCACGGAGCATTTGGTTTCGACTGCTGTCCCTGACCACGGGCTTTGTCTTTGTGACTTGGCTACGACTGAAATACAGTGAAGAAACCTGCGCGGATGAAACTACAAAAGTATACAGTCACCAGGAAAGACTAGAGACCAAAAAATACATAAACAACATCCCCTTCATCAAGCTGATTTCACCAGGTGAACATGATCTTGCAAATCGTGACCTTTGGCTTGGACCGCTTTTGGAATAGACGCCGTTTGCGGCATCGATTTGATCTCCTGAGCATTTCGGCACTCTGTGGCTTGGAGATCGCCAGCTGTTGCTTCTCTTCTCCTCCAGATTCTCTGCTCCACCGGTTGATGGTGGATCAAGTGGTTTCTATTTTTCCACATGGAACGGATTTTGCATGGGGAACGGATGTTGTTTGTTTTTTATCCTGTTCCTGAAGCGAACAGTGGCGTCACACACTGCTCACCCGATCCCCATCTGTGAAGAAGCCGCCAGTGATTTGCCACATGCTATGTCGTTTGCTTTAAAAAGCGTGGAAGTAGCCGGGCAGCCTCTCATGTTTGCAAACGGTTCATTTCTCAGATTGTCTATAGATTGTTTGCTTTCCCAGTCACTTGGGTTTACCTGCCTTTTTGAGGGATTCAGACGTCTATTTTCCCAGATCCGCAAGTAATTCTTCAAAGGACTACCTCTTGCGGACTCTGCTGGTGCTCCACATTTCTCGGGGCATTTGCTTGACCGAGCACGTGCCACCCTTGCGCTATTTGGCGGCCATGGTGGCTCACCTGGTGCCGGTCTATAGCCAGCTAGGTGGGAACGGGAAGCCAAGAAAAACGGGTGTTTTTGTTGGGGAAAGGGTTTGGCTCCGTATCTTGGTATCTTCAAAATCTGGTGTACTTCCAGGCTAACATCACTAAATTTCCACCTGCCCGATGGTGTCTTGTTCCCCAAAGTGTAGATATTCACGTTTCCACCCACATCTTCCGCACTTGGTAGCTAGCGAGCCGTTTTCCAGCTGCCTCCGCTGAGCACATGTAACTCCCAAGCAAAGAAAGCATGACAAAGCCCCAGTGGCAATTCACGACAACTGGGCTAAAGATGCGTACCTGATTTTCTCTCACGGTCGATAGTAGACGGAGCCCATCACATGTCCGCAATGCAAAAGAAACGCCCTTTCCTGCCTGCTGTAGAGCACAACTGGTCTTGGTCTCGATGATGATTTCGCTACGCCAGAGGCCGGCAAATGGATAGCAGATGGCAACATGAATTCGATATAATTCGATGAATTGTGTTTGACCAAAAACCATCAAAATGGATTCCCTCTCAAACGATAAAACCGCTCAGAACCGCGCCAGAAAAGCTATCCGAACCGGAGGCCTTTTGCTCTTCTTGGTCTACTACATCTTCGCCACGGTCGGTGTCCAACTCTTTGGTGGTTTGATCGATGTGCACAACCCAAACCTCGACCACACCGGCTTCGCCGAAGCCCAGCAGCTGGGCTCCGACCGGGACCACCGGACCGATTAGATACGGCAGAAAGTAGCAGAGTGACGAGCTCAAATCATGAGAAGGGCCATCCCAAACGGATGAAACGCCATGCCTCTGTGTTCACACATTTGTTCTGGGGTTGACCTTTTTCTTGGAAGCTGAAGTCGGTACAGCGTAAGCTGCGGTTTATTGGTTCTTCGATGTTCTTCGGGATTGTTTTGAGTTGGAATTCCGCTTGGAGAATCAGGCATTTGACATCCATTTTGTATCATTGCTGCGCGTATGTGTTTTATCCTTCATCGGAGATGGGCAACTAAACATCGTCTCTGCATATATAGAAACCAAAAGAGATTCTTATGGGAATGTAGCGTCTCGTTGAGGTATTGGCCGTTGAATTTTAATGACTTCCTCTCTGCCTTGGTGACCCTGTTCTGCTTGATGGTAGTGAACAATTGGTACGTGGTGGCGGATGGCTTTATGGCGGTGACCAGCAACTACAGTGCTATCTTCTTTGTGTGTTTCTTCGTGAGCGTCAACCTGGTGGTCCTGAATATCCTCATGACCCTCATTTTGGAGAGCCTCTTGGACGTCAAAAGATGGGAAACAGGCACTCAGGAAGCGGAACCGCTGCCTAAATAGGTCTAAAGACATTGGGATCATCCCAGTTTCACCATGAACAAGCATTTAGGAGAAGTCCATTCCCTATGGATCCACATACCTTCGCCTCTCAGGTAAGTGGACCCTCCAGACTCGCCTACATAATAAGCAATAAGTAGTCTCCAATCACCAATCACCTTCTCAGAAGGTCTGTGGATCTATAGGGATTTATAATGGGATTTAGGTTAGATTATATAGTGTTTACAACTAGACGTATACAAGCCACAGGGAAAACGGAGGCTTACACTGTTCATGGTGAGATGGGTGCCAGACTGCTTTCTCGGTGATGAAGTCAGGTGAGAAGCGCAACGAAACTGCAGTAAGAGCTTAGTTAGGAAAGTGAAAGCACTATTGCCTGCATGCTGGGATGACTCTTACATCCTCATGTACAAAGTGGTATGGAACAAGAAACAGTTTTCCTGCTTTGGTGAGCTGGAAAAATGCTTTCTCCACCAACGCTCTTGTTAGGGGGCATGTTTTCCTTCGTTCAAAGCAATTAGCAATTCCAGGACCACACTCCCTGGAACTGTTTTGGGGTCTCTCTCTATAGACCTCCCTCAATTGTCTTGTGGGAGTGGGAGGTTTAAAATGTTCCAATCCAACATGACGACATTCTGAACAATTTTTGATTCACACCCTCCAGGTGGCGCAAACCGCACCTTGGAAACCGCTGGGCAGTAGGGACCTCACCCATTTGCAGGTCTTTGATGAGTCTAGAGCTGAAGGTCCAAAAGCTTGCGCTTTTCGTTTTGCGCATGTTCACCTGCGGGACGAGGGGTGAACGTGACGACAACTGCTTGGAATCAAACGAATTCACGTTCGTGTCTTTTTGAGGCATACATCTCGATCTCAGTGGCAGTACAGTCCTTATACAGTATAATTAGATATCTTAGATACAGCAGAACACCCTACCAAATGCAAGTGTCGAGGTGAAGCATGTACTGTACCCCACCCCTGTGCTTCCTCAACAGACCTGTACTCCCACCACCCCAGCCCAGCCCCGCCGTGAGGTTCCGCGACCGTGCGCCACGAGCTCTCCGCCAAGACCAGCGAGGACGACGCGCCCCAGCGCAGCTGGAGCCGAGGCGAAGGGGGGAGAGCGGGCTGAGTCGGGGGGCGGGGCGACGGATTTGTGCGGCGATTTGTGGGGTCATACCTTATTCATTGATTAGTCAGCAGGGATTTTGATGACATGGTATTTCAGTTGAAGTGTATGACCTAACAAGAATGTGGAACACATCCAGCATGATCATGCGCAAGGTCAAGGTCCTTCGGAAGTTTAAGCCATGCCAGGCGCCATCTCTCCAATCAGAAATGGCGAAGGGGGGGTTGATCAGTTCATTTCAGGGAGCTTCACACACTTGTTCCAGTGACTTGGAGCTTCTTAGGATCAAAACCTCATCCACTCTAGACTCCAGGAGCGAGGGAATTCTTCCTGCAGCGCATGCTTCTCAGTGAGGAGGAGCGTTGGGACAGCGTGGTCGAGCGGGGCTTGAGCCCCGGACGTAGCACCTAACCCAGCGCCATTATATCTCGTGCCTCCCCAGCGCGGTCACGGCCAGCGACGCAGGCTGCTCCCCTAAGGTGGAGAACTGCGATCAATTGGCGAACGACCCAAGTTTGACCCCATGGATTTCAGAAGTCTCAGTGGTCTTAGGACTGGTGGTCAAATGAGCCAAAAGCCTCCAATTGCTAAAGTGCAACAACCATCCACTATGACCAGGTTTTTCATTTGGTACTTGGCTCTGTATTTTGCTGGGCCCAATCATTGTGAGGGCATCTACCGTGTGCCAGATTAATGCAGATTTACTTTGCAACTGGTGACATACAGTATTTTTGGTATTGCCGATCTCCAATTGGAGATGGTGTCTTCGATGACTGTAAAGTATCGTTATGCTTCATGGCCTGTGCACAGGAAGCAATCTGTTTTTTTGCTGAAAAAGGATGCTGGCTGCAAACCATGTCGACCTTACTTTTTTCGGCGTTACCGAGAGACTTTCCTCTATGCTTGACTGACGGGAGTTTGAGATGAAACCGACTTAGATCTATGAATTATCCTGAATCCTTCACTTTCCAGGTTCCAGGGTGTCAACCAGGCAGTCTTTCTTCAGAGAGCACCACGGAAAGGGTGTCCATGAAGCCATGAATAGACCCTTGAAGGTCAAGGGGTGTCCATTAACCACCCCTTGGGGGTCCTGGAGTTGCTTGAGGTTGCTTGAAGATCCCCTGAGCTGTTGGTGGCGAAACCGCCATCGCCGCCCTCCGCCAGCGCTGCAGGTGGCCGCCACGTTTGCGCCTTCCCGAGCCACCTCGAGGCGAAGCCTGCTCGCTTGGCACGGCGCCTCAGCGGCGCGTTCGCAGGAAGTTCCTCCAAGAGACCAGATAGCGAAAATAGGGTGGTCGAAACAAGTGGGACCAAGTGGTGGCCTGTTTTTTCTTCTGCCTATGGTTAAATCCCCTTCTGGGGAATTCTCTTTTTCCAGGTTCCTTAAGCAAATCCAAGTGGTGAGAGTTTCATCTCAAGGTTTGTTTCAGGCTGTTTCAACACACAAAAGCGTAGGATGAAACACCTTGAAGTGGCGATCCCCCTCGTCTCCTCTCTCTCTCTCTCTCCGACAAACCCTGGCTCAGGGATCTTCATTGGACATTCCTTCGATGGTCCAAGGATGTGGCGTTTGGTTTTGTTGTGAATTTGTGTGAGATGCGACGGTCAAAAGATGTCCAAACCCACAACTAACCCCAAAAACCCTCATAGCTGAAGCACTGTGTGTGTGTGTGGGCATAGGGACATAGGAGTTGCAGGGTGGAGTGAGAGTGAACATGCGGTCATGCATACAGCCTTTATGTTCAATGTTTTGCTGTTGTAAACGTGAGGGAATGAAAGAGGACTCCCTTTAGACTTTACGCGCATGTATTTGTCACATCCTCATGTTTGCAAACTGTGAGCAACAATATCCTATGTCAAATCAATCCACTGCTCTTCAGGACTTGTGAGTCCTTCCCCAGAATCGAATCGATCTCAACAAAAACATACATGATCAGACTTCCATATGATCACACATGATGATTAGACATTGTCAGACATTCGAGACGGATTGCTTTAAGACAACAATCTACAGGAAAGCTAGATGGGGTTCAGCCCCAACCAATCCGTCGATTGTAGATGGATTTCAGCCCTCCAACCAATCAGATCATGATGTTTTCAGCCCCCCCAACCATGGTTTTCCTGTAGATGTTCCCTTCAAACCCATGATCTGACAGAATCCGACGTTCAGGACCGGGTCCGTTGTCTCCGCGCTTGGGCGCGACGACCCGAGGTGCAGGACCTGGAAGGAGGCGACTTCTTCCGACAGATCCGCCCGGGCACTGGAAGGGAAGGAGCACGTCTCTGGTGTTTTTTTGGGGGGTTCAGAGATGTGAGGTGTCCAAAAGATCCAGAGGTGTCCAAGCACCGCGTTCGCAGGGTTTTCAAACCTCGTTTTCCCATTTTCAACCACCCACCTGCATTTCCCTGTTTCCAGCTTTTCGGGATGACAGCTTCCGGGGCTTTGTTGAGCCCAAAGAAAGGCGCCAAGCAAGTCCCGGCCCCACGACGGGGTATCTAATACCCACAACACCAGACGGGGAGGAGCTCAAGGTTTGAGCCACTCGGGATTCGTTTGGTGAAGAGTTTGGCCCCAAAAAAAAGGCCCCTCAAAGAGACTGGTCTTTTAGAGCGAAAGATTGCAATAGGATTTGGAGCGAAAAACTCAGAGATCTCACCCTTGGAGTTCAAGGAATGGCAGAGAAGAATTTTAAAAAAGGAACTTGGGATGTACAGACACTTTGACTCATGTCCAGCCCTTTTGTTGGGTGAAAGTCTTTGCTTTGAGTACCTTTGGGTGGATATGGTCCATCTATTCTCCCTCCGTGGTCTGCGGCACAGCGACGCTCCCTTCGAAGCGAGTCTTTGCACGGAGGGGGGGTTCCGAAGGGGGCCATGAGGGTCGCTATGAGGCACCACCGCAGACTCCACGCATCGTGAATCACCAGAACTAAGCAGCCTGAGAGTGAAATCACTTTGAGAGTTGGTCAGATGCTTTGCATCACATCCAAATCTGCCACTATACTTCTCCTGAGGCACCTGATCTCCGCTGATCCTACACCGAATCCGACCAGGATCCGATCTGAAATTGGCTGCACTCCTAATAAAACCCCAGACTCCAGATGGGTTTTCAACCCCAGATATCCTTCCACAGTAGGAGCCCAACGTTTGCTCCAAGGCTTCCAACCTGAAGGTGTCGATCGCCCAGAGATGTGGGAAGAGTGGTCTTTTGACCAGAAAAAACATGACACGTTCCACCATGTTCCCCCAGTTCCATGAAACTGTCGCTTCTTGCGAACGTTCTCGCCTGTCACGAACCCAGCGCATTGCGACATATTGCGACATCGAGTGAACCCCCGATTGAAACAGCACACCCTGCAGGATTCCTGGCAAAAGAACCGGTCCCTTCACTGGCAGAAACCGGAAACAGAAAGAACCGGTTTCTTTTGCGCGAAGGGACACGAGTTCTTTTTACATGCAATCAGGACAAAAGCAGCAATGCCATCATGTGGTCCAAAACATGCATTAGGCTGTATGGGGAAGTCACTTCTTCATGCCGCAAACTCATGACATATGCTGATTGGTACGTTGAAGAAGCATGCAAGCTGAACGTCCACGTCTTGTTCGCGGAGTACAACTTTGGTTGCTTTGGGATCCCGACGTGTTTGGGTGATATGAGTTTTGTCTAATTCTTTTCTGCGACTTCAGGAACTGATGTTTGGTTGGTTTGGGGAGCATGCAGCTGCTTCTTTTGCCAGTGCAGCAGGTCCATTTCTGGCAGCATATGCATGCTATGCATGCAAAGAGCTCATCTCATGAAATGCCAAAGCCAAACAGCTCAAGATTGATGCGTTACCCTAGGGTTCCAAGTGCCTTCTGAGAAGGTGTTTGGGGTGGG